GCTGCCATTTTCTGATGATGTGAACTTGAGAGAGTGAATCAACTTTTATAAGTCTCAGTTTCCTCATTGATAAAACAGTTCTCCTAAAAGCACTTTCTTTGTAGGATGGTTGTGTGGAGGACTGACGATCTTAATATACAATATTTAGCATGATGCTGGATATATGGAAAATAGAAAAAATTCAGAATACACTGGTGTTATTGAATTTGAATGTTCTCTACTGAGATGGCTTCAGTATTATTTTTATTCTTAGCACACATACCTTTCACATTTTTGTTTTCATAGGAGACCTGCGCTGTCTAGAATGTGTTTTTACCTGTTGTCCTGTGCTGTCTGAGATAGCAGAAAACACTTACCAGAAGACAGAAAGATTAGAACCCATTGTTTTTCCTCGAGGGGAGAATTCACAATTGTCCTGCTTGTATGTAGTTCAAATGCACCTGTTTCCTATAATATATAATAAATGGAATAAATTCTATATATTCCTATTTGTAGAGTTTTGCCAGATTAAACGAGGGCCCTGAGCTTGAGATGGACTACAAGAATCATTAACAGGTATTAGGGAAGTATTTATTACAACTGTAAAGGCTACTTTGTTCTTCTGGTTTGGACCCTGGGGGATTGGTGTCACACAGTGGTAATCAAGGGAATGTGTGATTATAGTCACAGGTTTAGCCAAATAGGAATTTTATAAAAACTTCCCTTAAGGCACTGGATTTCATCATCATTTCCCTTTTCTTTTTGGATTTCTTCAGACAGAATTAATTTCAAAGAAATATTTATGTAAACATTATCTTTAAATATGAATTGAAAAATGTAATTATAATATGGACCTTGCCTGTAAAAATGATCACATTTAATACAAATTTAGTCAATGGTTAAAATGTTAGAAAGCTCTTGTTTTTTAAAACTAATATCTGGAATCATTATAATTCTTAGTTCATAAATGACGCTGTCTTTGTTTTATTTTCAAACAATTAAAAAATTAGAGATGAACTCTCTTGTGTTTCCCCCTCAGTTTAAAGGCTTACCAATAGGTTATGGCTACTATTGTACCCCTTCATTCTTTTCTTCTTCCTGCTTGATTCTCAGGGCAATCATGATCTTTAATTTTGTCTTTCATTATATACCTGCTTTAGGAAATGAAGTACATCCCAACACACATATGTTTATAAAACCTATCTAAATAGCCTGTATTTTAAAGTGTATCTGTTTTTGAACTTATACAAAAGGTATCATCTTTTATTTATTTTGGGGGTACTTTCTGAAACTGGGACTCAAACTTGGTACTTGCTGCTTTCATTCATGGGATATTGTTCTACCAACTGAACCACACCTCCAACACATTTATATGTTTTTTTGGAAGATATTATCTGACTGTGGCCTTGTCTTTTTTTTTTTCTTTTGTGGGGGGGTCTGGTCGTGGGGCCTGATCTCTGGGCCTGGGCGCTGTCCCTCAGCTCTTTAGCTCAAGGCTAGCACTCTACCACTTGAGCCACAGCACCACTTCTGGCTTTTCTCTTTTTGCCTATGTGGTGCTGAGGAATCGAACCCAGGGCCTCAGGATTGCAAGGCAAGTGCTCTACCACTGAGCCACCTTCCCAGCCCTTGTCTTTGGTTTTCCTGATATCCAGTGGGATTGAATTTATCTTCTTAGTGTTACGTGCAATTTTCATCCTTTGAGTAAACTTTATAGCAGATGAAATAATTCTATTTGTCTATCATATTTAACTATATTTTAGGTATGTAAAATATAATTTTGTACTTTTGTAATTTTCTTAGAGTACCTTTGTACTATTTTTAGTTCTTTGTTATATGCCTTGACATCTTTTTGTCTGTTTTTTGGCTTCTTACTGTAAAAATCTCTAGTCATCCAAGTGCTGATGACTCACACCTGCAATCCTAGCTCTGCTGAAAGCTAAGCTATGAGGATGTTGGTTTGAAGCCAGCCCCAGCAGAAGTCGAGCTGTGGCTCATGTAGCAGAGTGCCAGCTTTCAGAGGAAAAGCTAAAGTAAAATATCTAAGCCTCAGTACAGACACAAAAACCCCATAAAACAACAACAAAAATACCAAGAAGATGCACTCATAAAACTGTACTTATAAAGTGATATGGGGAATTTGCAATGTCTTTGTAAAACTACTTAAAGGTGCTTGCCTTGTATGCATGAAGCCCTGGGTTTGATTCTTCATTATTACGTTAACAGAAAAAGACAGAAGTGATGTTGTGGTTCAAGTGGTAGAGAGCAAAAATAAGGAGCTCAGGTACAGTGCCCAGGCCCTGAGTTCAAGTCCTGGGACTGGCAACAACAACAACAACAACAACAACAACAAACCCAAAAAACAAACCACCAGCACAACAAAAAACCCACTACTTAAAGGCAGTGAAAAAGGAAATACAAGGAAAAAACCCAGAAATAAACTGTAGTGTACCAATTCTATTACCCAAAGACATTTTCCATATTCTTCAGAATAAATTACAACATAAAAATGCTTAGTAATTTATTCACTTAATCATTTAACAAACATGCAAAAAGCAATTTAAACAGAAAATTCCAAATGAGTAAAATATATATATATCCCAAATAAAATAAGAGAATACCACAACTGATTTTGTCATACTTTTAAAGGAGTCCAGAAAATGGGATGATGAGATTGTAGCAGCATTTTTTCTTTTTTGGTTGGTCATGGGGCTTGAACTCTGGGCCTGAGCACTGTCCCTGAGCTCTTTAATTCAAGGTAAGCACTCTACCACTTGAGCCACAGTGCTACTTCCAGTTTTCTGGTCTTTAATTAGAGATAAGAATCTCATGGACTTTCTTGACTGGGCTAGCTTTGAACCTTGATCCTCAGATCTTAGCCTCCTGAGTAGCTAGGATTACAGGTGTGAGCCACTGGCGCCCGGCTTGATTTTGGCAGACTTCAAAGAGGTGAGATTTTAAGTTGGTTAAGAAATGTGGTATCTCTGCACAATGGAATTCTACTCAACCATCTGTAAGAATGATATAGTGTCATTTGTGAGGAAATGGAAAGACTCGGAAAAAATTATATTAAGTGAAATAAGACAGAGCCAGAGAAACATAGGTTGTGTGGTTTCCCTCATTAATGGTAGCTACAATGTGCCTATAAATCTGCAAGTTAATACATTTGATGGTAAAAGAAATACACACTGGAGCATGATAAATCATACAGGTCTCTAAGCATTCACAAACAGTGAGACCTAAGGAGGATATTCTTAGGAGACAAAGAAAAGGTGTAATAGCTATGTGCATGTGATCATATAAAATGATATTTATTGAAATGAACTCCAGGAAATGGAAACAAGAATTTTTTCTTTTTTTTTAATTTTCCTTTTTTCTTCTTTGTTTATCTATCCTTGGGAGGGTGAGGTGGGGGCAGAGAAATGGATGGATAAAGGGTGAACAATGTAGCAGTGGTACTTGCTAGACACTATGTTGAAAATGAACTATACAACTTGTAGGTGGGGAAGGGAGGGAAAAGCTGGAAGAGAGTGAGGGAAGGGATGACATTGCCCAAAAAGGAATGTGCTCTTGATCTGACTTATGGAAGTGTAATACGTTGTATATTACCTTTATAATAATAAAAAATGAATGGGAAAAAAGAAGCTACATTTTGCAGATATATGGTTCTGTACCTACTATATATTTTTTGTTTTTTTCTTATTTTATCACCTTTATTAGTAGGAAAATCAAGATATTTCAAGAAAAAATAAGTTTACTGTACATATAATTTAGCCAAAGAACTTAAAATAGAGTCAGTACATTCATAATTTTTCCCATCTTTCTTTGAAAACAAAATTATTCCGAAGCCATTATTCCAAAGTAGTTGTATCTATAACCTTACCTATATGGGTGGCTGTTATCAGTAGGCCCAAGGGTCAAGGACAGCCTGGACCTAAAAGCTCAAGAGATTCCCTTCTTAACTGAAAGCTGGTGAAGCTGCTCACACCTGTCTTCCCAAGCTACGTGGGAAGCTCAGGACCTCAGTCCCAACCCTGCTCAAGAAGAAAAATCCACAAGATTCCATGTTCACAGGAAAGATGACATGTACCCAGGATCCCAGCATTATGGGATCAAAGATCAGGCACATGCCTGGGTGGAAATGGGAGATTCTCTCCTTAAAATAGCCATTGAAAACCAGGGACAGGGACATAGCCAGCAATATTGTGCCAGCCTAGCTAGTTTAAACCCCTTCAGTACCAACAATGAACTACATGGTCATGGTGGTACATGCCTGTAATCCCAGCACTCAGGAACCTGAGCCAGGAAGATTTTGATTTTGAAGCCAGTCTGGGCTACCTAAGTGAGACCACCTTAAAAAAACTTTATTAATGGAAGTGAAAATTTTTTGATTAATCTGGAGAATATAAACTTCATTTAGTTCCATCCTAACTTCTACTTATCCATTACCTGCCACTTCAGAGCATAAAAGTTAATGGCTTTTGCAGGGCTTTATATTTAAAATATTAACAGTTACCAGGTGCCAGTGGCTTACCTCTATAAATTCCAGTTACTCAGGAGACTGAGCTCTAAGGATCATAGTTTGAAACTAACTCTGGCAGTAAAGTCCATCAGGTTCTTATTTCCAATGAACCACCAAAGAAGCTGAAAGTTGAGCTGAAGATCCAGTGGTAGTGCTAGCTTTGAGCCAAAAAACTCAGAACAGCACCCAGGCCCTGAGTTCAAACCCAGGACTGGCACAAGAAAAAAAAAAAGTGGGAACCACTGATTATTTTCTTATTCTGGGTACCTACTATAATTTGTAATCACAGCAGTGCTTGACTAGTTTTTGATGTCTAGGAATTGTATATTATCATGGATCTCTATCTGCCTCATATTTCCTGGTACTTCCCATTTATTAAAAGTTAAATAATATTTTGGTAAATTGCTAATAAATGATCTTAGAATGGATGTAGCTTCTATTGTGGAAGGCCATTATTTCTTTTGTTTCTCTACACTCTGGTAGGAGATTTCCATTTACTTCACACTTTTGAGGAACATTTGTCCATTACCAGTACTCTGCTCAGAGCACTCTTTACATCTTTGTTTCTTAAAGTATAGATCAGAGGATTAAGACTGGGTGTGATAATTGTGTAAAAGAGAGTGAAGAACTTCCCTTCATCTTGGGACTTGGTTTTCTGTGGTTTCATATACATATAAATGATTGTCCCATAGAACAGAGTCACTACTGTGAGGTGGGAGCCACAGGTGTTCAGGACCTTTCTCCACCTGCTGGCTGACTTGATCCTCATTACAGCTTGAGTGATGACTCCGTAGGAGATGAGAATCAGTGACAGAGGTACTAGAAGCAATACAACTCCAAGAGAAAAGACAACAATCTCAATGACTCTTGAATGGACACAAGCCATCTTGACCAACGCTGGCATCTCACAGAAAAAATTATCCACTTGGCGGTGGCCACATCTGGGTAACTTCAATGTCATTGAGCAAACAATTAGGGCACTTCCCAACCCCCCCAACCAGGAGATCAGCACCATCCTGTGGCAAAGCCCAGGGTGCATGATGACCATGTAGTGCAGAGGCTGGCACACAGCAGCATAGCGGTCATAGGCCATCACAGCCAAGAGAAGACATTCTGTGGCTCCCAGGTCAAGGGCGAAGAAGAACTGGAGTGCACAGCCTCCGTATGTGATAGATTTTGTTGGGCCCCACAGATTTACCAGCATCTGGGGGATGATGCTAGTGGTATAACAGAGGTCCACAGCAGACAAATTAGACAAGAAGAAATACATGGGGGTGTGGAGCTGGGAGTCTAGATAAGACACCAGGATGATGGCTGTGTTTCCTACCAGAGTCACCACATAGAAGATGAAGACAGCCACGGAGATGATGCGCTCCAGGTGAGGTCGATCAGAAAACCCCAGAAGGATGAAGTCTGTTCTGGAACTTCCATTGGTTGTTTCCATGGCCCTTTATGATATGCTAGGAGATAATGTCATGGTTACCAAGCCTGGTGTCAGTCTGCTTTGGAACTGTGTGGCTCTCAATTATTTCATACTTTTACTTTCTATCTGGAGCATCTCTTTGCTGGGTGTTCAGTGTTTATAGCATCTGTGTATTTTCTCATGTCCAAAGTGGTCCTAAAACACAATGCTAAACTCAGAGTGTCTACTAAATCTTTGAGAAGAATTAATATGCTTTGTAACTGATCAGTTCTATATTATTTTTTTTCTTTCTGCTAGGCTCCTAGCATTTGAACTGAGGTCTTGGGTATTGTCTTGAGCTATATAATTAATTAATTAATTAATTACGTTCAAGGCTAGCAGTCTAACCAGTTGAACCAGAGCTCTACTTTTGGCTTTTTGGTGGTTAATTGGAGATAAGAGTCTCCTGGACTTTCCTGCCAAAGCTGTGTAGGTAGGCATTTTGATAAGATCAATTATATATTATTAATGAGGACACCTGGTAATAATTACTGTTAAACTCAATTTACTTTTCCCTCTTCTAAGTTACCAGGCATTTAATAAAAACAGAATAGTTATTTAAATAAACTCTGAGTTGTTTGTCTTTATGGAGCTAAGCAATTATATGTGTACACTTTTTGTGGCTTTGAATTTTTTCTTATAAAATAACATTTTAACTCTAAAAGTGTGTGTGTACACACACACACACACACACACACACACACACACACACACACACACACACACACACAGAGTAAAATTTCACCAAAACCACTCTTTCCCCCTGAATAGTGTATTGTATGATTAAATAGTTTGAAACAATCACTGAATTAGTTTTAATATTTTTTCTGCCAAATTTGTGTCCATGAACTTCAGACCTTGGGTTACATTTATATTTGAGGGCATGGAATAAATGTTAAACTGTCATTTGTGGCAATCTCTAGAAAAACGAATGTTCTCAAGGAAAGCATCATTATATAAACATTACTTAGAATTAGAAAATATGTCCTCATAAATACACATATTAGCAAGTCAGAAAGAGTTTTCTTATCATAAAAGCATGAACTTTACTAAGGAGATTTGAGTGCTGATGTAAGTGTTTTCTAAGTCTAGCAGTGTCTCCAATCCCAGTCCACTGCTTAGAAGCTAGGTGTTGTCAGGTAATAATTCCACCAATATGTGAAGTGAATCCAATAGTATTCCTTTATTCAATGAGAGATTGTGAACAACAATATTTGTTAAAGCACTTGAAACTGTTCTCTTTATACTTAATTCGAAACCCAAAAATCTCTGCCATCTTCCCAATCATTATTATTCTATATGTCTCTTGTTTTCTTTAGGTTTTACACAAATAAATTCACCATGATGGTTTCAAGCTAAATAGAAATGTCAAATACATTTTTTTCCTGGTAACTAGCTTTGAACTCAGGGCCACTTATTTGCTGAAAGGATGCTCTACCACTTGATTCATACCTCCAGTCTTTCTTTTTATGGATTTAGAAATGGATCTTGGCTTTTATCACTGGATTGGCTTCAAACTATGGCCTTCAAGATTCCAGTCTCCTGGCAGGATTATAGGCTTAGGCCAGAAACACATGGATTTGGATTTTCATACCTCTGCCTATAAATAATTATGATTACATGTATGAGCTACTGCATTTTAGTTATGACTTCTAAAACCTAATTAACATACAAAAATATGTATAAGCAGAATGCAATATTCAGATTCAGCTGATAAACTCAGGGTCAGGAAATGATTTGAGTTCTCCAAAGTCTTTGATTTTAAATACCCATAAGTTTCTGTGATCTCTAAAAGTAGAATGTTCAGAATTAAAAAGCCATACATTTTAAAGCTGAAATGGGTCTCAGAAGCCATGACTACAGACCTCTGTTTTAAATAGATTTTTCCCTGGAATATTCATATAACATCTCTCTCTCTCTCTCTCTCTCTCTCTCTCCTTTTGTTCAAGTCTTGGGGCTTGAATTCAGGGCTTAGGTGCTGCTCCTGAGCTTTATTGTTGAAGGTTAGCACTCTACTACTTTAAGCCCAGTTCCACTTCTAGCCTTTTTTTTTTTTTTTTTTTGATAGTTAATTGAAGAGAAAAATCTCAAAGACTTTCTTGTCCAGTCTGGCTTTGAACCACTATCCTCTGATCTCATCCTCCTGAGTTGCCAGAATTACAGGTGGGAGCCTATACAGGAGCCAGGCACCTGGCTTCATATAACATTTATTTTCATAACGTCAGTGTCAGGGAAGCCACTTGTACGTGAAGAGGCCTCTTTCCTCAATCAATGTCTCATACACTTCCACTGACTTTAAAAAGTTCCTTTTGGCAACATCCTAACACTGATTCTCTCTATTCCAAAAATAAAGTATAGGCATATTTAATTCAATTCAATATGGCTCCATAATAAACAGATTTAGTTATATATATTTATTTGTTCCATTATATCTCTATATACATCTATCTGTCTATAGATCCATCTCTCTCTCTCTCTCTCTCTCTCTCTCTCTCTCGATCTATCTATAGATCTATCTATCTATCTATCTATCTATCTATCTATCTATCTATCTATCTATCTATCTATCTATCTATCTATCTATCTATCTATAGGCATACCCAGGAAGTAATAATAAAGGTTTGGTGAGTTTGGGTGAATTATCTTACAACTTTTGTCAGAGTCCAAAAATAGCACATTGTTAACCACACCAGGGGCTTTCTCTGTGCAGAATCCCAGTTATGACTCTCCCCTGTTCCTGGCGTGTCCTGATGGTACCAGAAATCATCTCTTTGCATTTTATTAACTGCCTGCATGTGCATCCACCAATATTGTGAACTTTTAATTAAAGGTGGCATATATCTGTTGAATCCCTTTTAATGGAATCTATTATTAAATATGTTAGATTTTTCTTTTATTTTTCTTTCCTGACCAAGCATATGATGACCTGTTTCTAATGCTATCCTGTTTCCAACTGCTGGACTTTTTTGGTGTCTTGTCACTGGACGCACCTGGGTTATGTAAAATCTCAAATTCTTTTTTTTTCTTTTTCTTTTTTCTTGTGAAAATACTGTACATGGGCTGGGAAGGTGGCTCAGTGGTAGAGCACTTGCCTTGCATGTCTGAGGCCCTGGGTTCGATTCCTCAGCACCACATAAGCAAAAAGAAAAAAGCCAGAAGTGGCATTGTGGCTCAAGTGGTAGAGCACTAGCCTTGAGCTGAAGAGTTGAGGGACAGCGACCAGGCCCAGAGTTCAGGCCCCACGACCGGACCCCACCAAAAATAAAAGAAAAAAAAAGAAAAAAAAAAAGAAAATACTGGACAGAGGGGTTACAATTACATGGGCAAGATAGTGAATACATTTCTTATCAAGCATTGAGAATCTCAAATTCTTGAGCTCAAAGGGGAGCACAAAGTTCTCTATTTGCATCTCTACCAAGGTACCTGTGAACCCCAGGGGTTTACATGTGCTTTGTAGGTGGTTTTTATATGTGAGTTGTTTTTAGCAGATAGCAAACAAGAGTAGCTCTGTATAAACTTGGGATCACTGAAGGCCCAAGATGATCTTGTTAGAATTGCTACTGAGGTAGGAATTGAATGCTGTCCACTTAAATACAAGACGTTTCATTTTGTTGCTTCTTCCTGTTCACTGCATTGGTTTGACCTTTAATCCTCACATGTTGGACATTAGTTTAACTTCAACTGAAAAGTAGATGTGATATTCAGAATAAGACTATGCCATAGATGGCATTACCAAAAAGAAATAAGGGTACATTTTCACTGAAACCCCATTTTCTTTTTTTTTTTCATAGTAGGGAAATAGTTCAGTTGTCAATTATAAAGCATAATTTTTCATTTCCTTACTTTAATGCCTTTGAAGACAATTGAGCCAAGTATATTTAAATATAATTTGGTGTCCATCAATAATATGAAGAGAAAACTGAGAACATGTGTCTAAATATTAAGAACATATTTAATGGATGGCTTTTCTTTTCTTTCTTTCTTTTTTTGGACTGGGGATCAAACCCAGGACATTGTAATTGCTAGACAAGTTCTTTGCCACTGAGCTACATCCCAGCCCTAATGGGTGACTTTTTGATGACTAAGGAAGTATTGTCATGTCCAAACAGAAAAAGAGAATATCTAAAGGGTTAAAACCATAGACACTGGGTATAGTTTACCTGTGTAGTTTTTACCACAAGATCTCTGCCATTTTTTGCTGGTGTGAACTTGAGTCAGCTAATCAACTTTTATAAGTCTCAGTTTCTTTGTTGATAGAACAGTAGGATGATTGTGTCATGATGCTTGATACATGGGAAATATTTAGAAAATTCAAATTATCTTAGTTACTCTTGTTGAATTTGAATCCTGTCTGTTGAGATGGCTTTAATATCAGTACTATTCCTAGCTCATAAACTTTTTACATCATTGCTTTCATGGATAGTAAGACCAATACTGTCTAGGATATGTTTCTACCCCTTGTTCCTTTCTGTTTGCGATAGCAGAGAATACTTACCAGATGTCTGAAAGGTTAGACTCCATTATTTTTCTATGAAGGGAGAATTTGTAGTTGTTTTTCTTGTACGTCGTCCAAGCATACCCGTTTCCCATTAGGATGGAGGAGATTCTTCATCAATAACTCAGAAAAGGAAGTTGTGGGGCAAGGCACTAAAGTTTTGGGAAAATTAGATTAGTCTTTTTATACTGATGCCACGATCTTACTCAATTGAATTTAACTTTAGAAGATGTTCCTATTTAATTTGGATATTGGAGAGAAAGTAGATGCAGGACTGGCAAAAAAGCTGATGAATTAGTTTTGGCTAAGTACATTTCTAGGTTGATAGGTGAAATCTTCTATTGGATCTTCTTCTTATTCATATTTCAAGTAGAGTGTTGCTGAATGAAACAAGGAGGGCAAGGTGTCTTGGGTTAGATTCCAGGAGTCATGAATGCGTGGTATGGAAGTATTTATGCACAACTCTCAAGGCTACTGCATTGGTGTG